TTTTTGGCTTTTCCCAACCGCCTGCTATTTGTGAACTGACAAATGATGTTTCTCAAACCCCAAATGTTTCAGTTTCCTCAGCTGAAAGATGCCATGTCGCTGTTGTACTATTTAAAGTAAGGCTTTGTTTGCTCAATCTCACTCAGGATAAGAAAGCTGAAAATAAGTCTTTGGGATAGAATTCAAGTCAGTTAAATCAAGGACACATATGAGATACACGTTGTCTGTACAAGACACTAGGTCTTAAGACAACCTAAAATATAACATCCCTCTAACCTGCCTTAATTGGAAAGAGCTGAAAAATTGATGTAAGAGGAAGACAGATGGAGATAAAAATATCACCTTTCTTACTCACAGAGCCCTCTGTCAGAGGGCAGGAGTTAATCTGGCTGGTAGGTTTGTTTACACACCCCTGGTTCACAACTTACATCCTCCCCCCAAAGTGGAAGTCTTCTCTGCTGGGATGATCCTGCCTGAATAAACTTTCTGGATGGCCAAGAAGAAAAGAGAATTCAGCTTGAATACAGGTTACGTATAAGCAGCTGGTTCCTCAAAGGGAGGATGGAGGAAGGGATGTGAGCCGAGCAAATTCAGGTCCTTTTGCCAAACTCATGAATCAGCCAGGTCATTTTCTCCTTCCCTGGGGCGGAGTCGCGAGGTGGGGAGAGAGAGCCCTGAGTATGAATCTAGTAGATGTCCTTCCTGTGGGCTCTGCGATAAGTACCCTCCCCAAACCAGGCACTCGTGTTGTGGGCGGCGGCCCAGGCAGGTATAAAGATAAATAACACATATGCCGGGGTTTGAGCGCCTTGTGACCTCGCATGAGACAGAAGCAGCGTGGGGCGTGGACAGACCCATGGACACAAGAGCGCAGGGCAGGTGCTCTTAGGTACAGGGTGACAGTCGGGAGAACCTGAGGTTGGAAGGGGCTGGAAGGGGCCTTCACAAGCTTCGTTAAGGCATTTGGTCTTTATTAGATGGGACGTAAGGAGCCATGGCGAGTTTTTAAGCAGCGGAGTGAATAGTTGGGTTTTGTTACTGAACACAAATTCATGTGCCCGACACAGGTCAAACCAAACGGAACATCAGACTTGGAAGCAGAGAAAGGTTTATAGCAGGGCTATGCAAGGAGACGGGCTCCTGCCCCCAAGCCCAGACTCCCCACAGGGTCTCAGGAAGGCATTTTTAAAGGCTAGGTGAGAAGGGGCGTGGGGTTGGTTGGGGCAGATTTCTTGGCGCTGGAGTCCTTTGTTCTTGGAGCTGTCTACCTAGGTCAGGTCTAGATCTTCCCATCAACCTCCAGCAAGACAAATGTTATTTTCTGTTCTGCGACTCTTTATCTCTGTGTGAATGGAAAAGTGTTACGCCCTTAAAGGTCAGAGCCTTGGGAACTGGCTGTCCTATATATCTCAGGCCACGGGCAGCATCCTTGTACAGAAGGTGCCGAGTCAGCGTGACTCAGCCCAGGCAACGGAGCACAAAGGCGAAAGTAAGAGAAGCAGATCCGTACGGAGTCAGACTTTTCCAACTCTGCACATTTCCGGGAAGCAGTGTGTAGGATGGGCCAGGATGAAGGGAGGCCTGGGGAAGAGGCTGACTCTGGCAGAATTCAGGAGAGGTCAGAGCTGGAAACCATAGTGGAGGGTGCCCCCGGGCTACTGAAGAACACGAGGCAGTTAAAGGGCCTTCTAAGAAAAAGGAGGAGCAAGTGAGGAGAAGACATTGAGTTTGGGTGTGTTTATGTTGAGTTTGACAGGTGGCAAAGGTTGTGCTTTTGTAACAGGGAGTTAGAAGTGAGCAAAGACTCACACGTAGGGGAGAACAGCGCTATGGGGTGAGTCCCGCCCTGGGGACGAGAGACACGCGGTAAGGATGTTAGACATCACTCTTGTCTTCATCCTGCTTACGGCTGACCCCAAATCGCGTCATCTGAGAGTGGCAGGCTCTTGGTGTTAGTTCCTCGGTCGTGTCCACCTCTGTGTGACCCCATGGACTAGCCTGCCAGGCTCCGTGGGGTTTTCCAGGCAGGAACACTGGAGTGGGTTGCCATGCCCTCCTGCAGGGGATCTTCCCAGCCCAGGGATTGAAGCCGGGTCTCCTGCACTGCAGGCGAATTCTTTACCACTGGGCCACCAGGAAAGCCCCTACTGTTGTTATAATTGCTTATTTTCCACATACCAGTCACTGGGCTGGGCACAAATAGACGTATCACTTATTGAGTGCCTACAGTTTGCTGTGCTGTTTACTTAATCCTTAGTGGTTATGAGTGTGGTATCTACAGTCAGAGGGCCAGGGTGTGAATTTGGGCCTCAGATGAATAATGTTAAACAAGTTACTTGATCCTGTTGAATCTTACTATCAGTGCTTGTAGAATGAGGTTATAATACACCTATCTATAGAGTAGTTACAAACCACGCTAACTTCAGCATAGAACCTAGCACCTGGTAAACAGGTGCTCAGTAAATATTAGCTACGATGATGACGACATTGCTGCTGATTACTGTCATTACCGACCGGGGTTCTTGGCCTCCTTAAGCAATAGAAATTGGTAAGAGGCTGGACAGGAGATTCAGGCAAGGCTTTCCAGGGCCCTTGCTGCCGCAGGAAGGAGCGAGAACAAGTAACAGTTTTCCTTGCCCACTGAGGCGGGCTGAGCTGCTGCTTACCTGGGGTGAGGGTAGAGAGGTGTCCAGGAATCAGGACGGAGGGCAGGCTTAGGGGGGTTGCCCACCGCTGGCGTGGTGTTGTGTGCAGGGGGCACTCTGCTTTCGCTCCTGGCTCTTCAGAAGTGGCAGCTGGGCTTCTTGGTCTCTTTGTATCTCATCGTCCAGCATTTGCCCCAACTACAAATGCATGCATGCATTAATATTTTCAGTCCCTTGGTGGCTCAGATGGTAAAGAATCTGCCTGCAGTGCAGACCAGGGTTTGATCCCTGGGTCAGGGAGATCCCCTGGAGAAGGCAATGACAACCCACTCCAACTTCTTGCCTGGAGAACTCCATGGACAGAGGAGCCTGGTGGGCTACAATCCACGGGGTCACAAAGAGTTGGGCACGACTGACCCAGGTAACGCTTTCATGTAACTTTGCGTTCTGTTGCTGAGGGAGAGGTTCGTCCCGGTGCAAGCAGCGCAACAAAGAGGCCCCGGCCCCGTCTGCCTCACCGTGACACTGATGGGGAGGCCCACGCCTAAGATGACCGATGAGGTGACAGTGACCGTCATGTTGATAACGGTGCCAGGGATGACCGTGACTATACTGACTTGAGAGGCCAGAGTGTGCAGCTCATGTGCTCTGCGTATAGCACCAGAAGATTCTAAAGTTGAGTATCTGTGTTGGCTCAATGGCTCTGTGACCTTGGGAGAGTTCTTTTCACTAGTTACATTTCAGCTCCTCATCTGTAAACAGTAATTGCTTCACAGGGCTGCTGGGAAGCTCAAATAGGACACTTAACGTATCCAGGCTCCTCTGTCCATGGAATTCTCCAGGTGAGAATACTGGAGTGGGTTGCCATTTCCTACTCCAAGGGATACTCCTGACTCAGGAATCGAACCCGAGTCTCTTGTGTCTTCTGCATTGGCAGGTGGATTCTTTACAAATGCGCCACCTAGGAAGCCCCAAATAGGGCACTTTATGTCATCGATTCTAGGATGTATATTGTCCATATTTTAACATCTCTGAAATCAAGGATGCATTTATTGCCAGTTTGTGTATATATTGGATATTTGTGAAGCAAGTTTTAATCATGAGAGAAATGATCACAGTTCCATGTTTTTTTTTTTCTTGCCAGATGATGACTGCTTCATGAGACCTAAGGAAGGGATTCCTAAGTCGATAAAGCTGTTATTTATTTATTTATTTTGGAAATGCACACAAGGGGGCTTTTTTTCTTTTTTTATCCCATGCTAAGCTATGTGATTGAAGGCAGGAGAAATTGTGAAGTTCCACAGACTGGATGAAGAAAATTTCAAAGACATGAAAGGTTGTTGTGATGGATTGTTGCTGATCAAGAAAGTGCCAACGTCAAAAGCTGCAGAACGGGTTTCAGCACTAAAAGAAAATCCTGGAGGAGAATCGTTGGTTGCTTGAAGGGTGATTTTGGAGAAATGTGATGGTTGCTGACTTGAATTGAAAAACGATTTTGATCATTCAGACTCTGAACATTTTATATCTCTTTTATTTTCTTTCTTATTAAGACACATGAGGAATCTGTGATAAATAATTGCTGATGTCTAAAGCAGCTTTTTCAATAAGTAGACAAAAAATTCAAAGTGATAAGTAAACTTTGTGCCATAATTTTATTGGGAGCGTTTTATTTACTTTTAGGAGGAACAGAAAATGCCACTGTGTCCTTCGTTGTTGTTCAGTCGCTAAGTTGTGTCCGACTCTTTGTGAGCCCAGGAACTAGAAGCACGCCAAGATTCCCTGTCCTTCACTGCCTCCAGGAGTCTACTCAAACTCATGCCCTTTGAGTTGGTGATGCCATCCAACCATCTCATCCTCTGTCGCCCCCTTCTCCTCCTGCCTTCAGTCTTTCCCATCATCAGGGTCTTTTCCAATGAGTTAGCTCTTTGCATCAGGTGGCCAAAGTATTGGAGTTTCAGCTTCAAAAGTCCTACCATCTGTCCTACCAACGAACACCCAGGACTGATCTCCTTTAGGATGGACTGGTTGGATCTCCTTGCAGTCCAAGTGACTCTCAAGAGTCTTCTCCAACACCACAGTTCAAAAGCATCAATTCTTTGGTGCTCAGCTTTCTTTATAGTCCAACTCTCACATCCATGATCACTGGAAAAACCATAGCCTTGACTAGATGGACCTTTGTTGGCAAAGTAATGTCTCTGCTTTTTAATATGCTGCCTAGGTTGGTCATAACTTTCCTTCCAAGGAGTAAGCGTCTTTTAATTTCATGGCTGCAATCACCATCTGAAGTGATTTCGGAGCCCAGAAAAATAAAGTCAGCCACAACTTGGTGACTAAACAACACTAGCAACAATATTTTTAGAGAAGTTTAGGTTTAAAGCAAAGTTGAGAGGAAGGCAGAGAGTTTTCTCGTATACCCCCGCCCCCTCCTCCCCTCCCCCACCTCTCCATACTCAGCCCGCCGAGATCCATATCACTCACCAGAGCAGGACAGTCCCTCCAAATCCCTCGTTCACCGTTGTGTTCACTGTCTTTTTCAGAAAAAATCTTTTGGCCGTGCCACTTGCTATGCAGGATCTTAGGTGCCTGACCAGGGACTGAACCTGTAACCCCTGCAGTGGAAGCAGGGGGCTTCCTCACTGGGCCACGGGGGAAGTCCCTAGGTTCACTCTTGATGTTGAACATCCTATGCGTTTGGACAGATTTATAATGACATGTTTGTGTGTGTGCTAGTTGCTCAGTCGTGTCCGACTCTTTGTGAACCCCGTGGACTGTAGCTGCAATCCCGTGGATTCTCCACGGGATTCTCCAGGCAAGAATACTGGAGTGGATTGCCGCGTCCTCCTTCAGGTTGACCCAGGGATTCAACCCAGGGCTCCCACATCGCAGGCAGATATACTGACGTGTACCTATCATTATAATATCAGACAGAATATTTTCACTGCTATAAAAATCCTCTGTGCTCCGCCCTGGGGTGTGGTCCACCGTCCATTTCTAACAAGCTGCTGGGTGACGCGGTTCCTGTGGATCCTTGGAACACTCTTGGCATGTCAGGACCCAGAATCTTCCGTCACTGCAGGAGGCACCTCTGCTGTCCCTTCTGTCCTTGCGCCGTCTCCAAGCCATTGATTGAGTCAAAAGCGCATGGGAAATTGGATACACTTGTGGGATGTTTGGCACTCAGAGGGGAGCTAGATTTAGCACCTGCATTTCTATGGATTTCTCCCATCGTTTCCTGGACTCAAAACGAAGCCTGTCTAGCTCCTCTTAAGGAGGAAAGCGAGCCGTGGTCTGGACTCTGCAGAGCACCGAGGTGGAGGTTACCCATGCAGGGCAGCAGGGCTCCCCGCGCCTTCAGAGAGGGTTCAGCGCTCGCTCGTCTTGGGGTTTGGGCTGCACACTGGTTTTTAACTTTATGTAACATCTTGGCCCTTTCCCTGAGAAGAAGTGTTTCGAAACTGCTTGCCGTTCCTGCTGTGGGACATCTATAAAGAGACAAGTTGTCCTTTCACTCGAGCTGACTTGGCAGGGAAGTGTGGCCCGTCCCTTCGGCTGTCCAGAAATTTCCCCGACTTCTGGCCTGTAGCCTCTTCCTTCGCTCCTTCCCTGAGAGGCGCTCGGGGACAGCAGCTTGCCAGGAGTGTGCGCTGGTTTGTACCCAGTTCGTGAGCTGCTGTAGGTGCGACTCGCATCTTAGCCCAGAAGCCCGAGCATACAGGAGAAACAGCTTACAATCGATTTTTGAAATGCAGTGTGACTTCTGTTTCCAACCCTTATTGCACCAGAGTGGAAAGCACTTAACCTCAGTTAATTTTTTTTTTCTTTCTCTGCTCCAGGATTGTATTTAAATTTGGGGAGATAAACGTCCCGTGGGCGTGTCTCCTCTTTAATCTGGTTACCAGGGTCCTGGATGAGACCTCTGCCGTCCAACTTGGTCGTCCTTTGTTGGCCTGCGCTTGTCTCTGGGGGACTTCCTTTTTCTGTCTGCACAGTTCCTACCTAGCTTTCCTCTGATTCAGGACGTTTTCCAAGAAGTATTGTGTCAAAGCTGAGGCCCTTCCAGGCTCCTGCCATCCAAAGCTTTTAAAACAGTAGAGCCAGGAAAATACTATGTTTTTCCCCCTTCGCTTCCTTCTTTATATCATCCCCTGAAACAAAAGCATAAAATACCTTTGCTGTTAAAAACGGAAGAAGGGCCGAAAAGGAGAGGCCCAAAGTGGAGAGTATTTGAAACATGCTAACGTTGCTGCAAAATCTAATGCCTCAGATGAACTGCTGTGTAATTTGTGTGTAATAAGTGTGTTTAGACTCCTTTTCCACCTTGTAGGCATTTTAATGATGCTATGATTCTCCTGGAAGGTACTCTTTACATTTGTCTTTTTTTCCCTTCAGTTTCACCCCATGTCTGCTAAAATAGTACCAGTTCCCAAGAGGTGAGAAATTCAGGGCCGGAGAAGGAAGGAGAATAAAAGAACTTGCCCAGGAACTTCACTGGATTACACTTTTAAAAAATGTGACTTACACCGAGGCCCCAACCTCTGTGCATTTGGAGCGATGGGAGATAAGCTAATTCAACCCAATTCACCAAGACAGGACTGCCGGCAAGTTCATGCTACCGTGTGCTCTAACTGGGGGGTGGTTACGGACACCAGCTTTGGGGAGAAAGCTTGTGCTGGGTTCCCGGTTCTAACGCGTCTCATATGGTGGACCGTGGACGAGGTACTAGGAGTCCAGTACCTGCCCTTGTGTCCCAGGGCTTTATTTCCGGGAATTCAACCCGCTGAGGATTTCCAGCCGTGAAATTTAGATCTGCGCTTGGTTGAACCCCTGCTGGCCCAGATGGTAAACAATCTGCCCCCAGTGCAGGAGAGCATGGTTTGATCCCTGGGTCTGGAAGGTCCCCTGGAGAAAGACATGGCACCCACTCCAGGATTCTTACCTGGAGAATCCCATGGACAGAGGCGCCTGGCGGGCTACAGTCCAGGGGGCTGCAGAGAGTCGGACACAACTGAGCGACTACGACTTTCACTTTGGTTGAGTCTGCAGATGTGGAGGGTCTGCTTATTCACTTTGCTATTGTTTAGTTGCTCAGTTGTGTCTGAGTCTTTGTGACCCCATGGACTGTAGCCCACCAGGCTCCTCTGTCCATGGGATTTCCCAGGTAAGAATGCTGGAGCGGGTTGCCATTTCCTCCTCCCGGGGGTCTTCCCGACCCAGACATTGAACCCAGCTCTCCTGTGTGGCAGGCAGATTCCTTACCACCGAGCAATCTGGGAAGCGCACTTGTTCACTCAGCAGGTGTTCATACGCGAGGCTTCGGCATCACTGAATCTTAGCATCAACACGGCCCCCGGGGCCCCATCCCCCGTGGGTGCCAAGGGAAGGGCGCGTGGGGCAGGACTGTCTGATGACGAGATGGGCTGCTTAATGCCTGGTAAGAGCTCAGGACAGTAAGTGCCTGGACTTTGGCCAGCACAGAGTAAATGCTAATTTAGGATGATCCTTGTACAAATAGCGTTGGTTTTCTGAAAATTTCCCCCCTTTAGTTATCATCAAGGAGGTCCTTTGTTTGGTCCTTGTTTATGAAGATGGAAAAAACCCAAGAGGCACAAAGACATTATTTAACTGTGTGTGAGGTTCTGAAAGCAGGCAGAGCCTCTGATGTACACTAACCATTGTTTCTTTCCCCATGGGAATTACGGCTCTCACATATTTTATTGTGACTGTGTTGATTTAACAAACCTCAGACCCTGGGTTTAACATACAAGATCCGAAGCATGGCCACTTGCAAAATACTCCCTAATGCTTGTGTTAGATAGGTTAGGTTAGGCTGAACCTGCTGACCTCATGACTGGTTGTGAGAAAGCAAGACACATGGTTTGGAGTTGGCAGGGGAAAGGGTATTTTCACCCTAAACACACAGCTTATTTCAGTAATTGAGGCTAGATATTCCTGATGCTGGGTAAGATTGAAGGCGGGAGGAGAAAGGGACGACAGAGGGTGAGACGGTTGGATGGCATCACTGACTCAATGGACTTGAGTTTGGGTAGGCTCTAGGAGTTGGTGATGGACAGGGAGGCCTGGCCGTGCTGCGGTCCATGGGGTCGAAGAGTCGGACACGACTGAGCGGCTGAACTGACTGAGTCACAAGTTGCAGAACTCTAGACAGGGGTTCACGAGTCCATGAGTGAGGACTGATAAAATTCACAGAACTCTAAGCTGAGTCTCATCCTTGGGAAGTTTATAAATATGGAGGAGTCTCTGTCTGCTGTCCGGGTTTCTGCTCAGATTTCATGGACTCCTCCACTTTTTTAACTTATAAAAGGTGAAATGTATTTATTTTTAAATTTTCATTTGGAGTCTAGTTGCTTTACACTGTGTTAGTTTCCGCTGCACGGCAAAGTGGATGAGACACACGTGCACACGTGTCACCTCTTTCTCAGACTCCCTTCCTGCTCCGGTCGTCACAGAGCACGGAGCAGAGTCCCCCGCACCGTGCAGTGTAAGCCCATCCGTCATCTGCTTTACACATGGGATCAGCAGTGTGCACGCGTCCTCCCGATCTCCCGCTCACCCACCACCCTGTGACCACACGTCCATTCTCTACATCTGTGTCTCTATTTCTGCTTTACAAACAGGTTGATCTGTACCATTTTTCTAGATTCCACATAGAAGCAACTACTTTTACGGATTTTAAATCCAGGAACCTAAGCTTGGGAATGATAAACATCCGCCAACCTCTGAATTCCAGCTCACACTGTTTGCTGCTATGTCACCTAGCTAATCCTCCTGGAGCATCTCCATAGAGCCCCTATTCCCACCGATAGACTCTCCTTCACTTCTTTAATATTCCCACATCTCTACCTCCACCTTTGCTTTTTTCTTTCTAGTCTGCTTTCCAAGGAAACAAACATCACGGAAATTAACCAATATCATTTGGCATGGCACAAGTTATATGTTTATATAGTAGAATAATACTTTACTTCTTTCCAAAAAAAAAAATTTGAAATTTGATCCTGCCTCCATCCATCTCAAATTGAAATGGCTAACAACAAAAAGTGTTGGTGGGGATGTGCAGAAACAAGAACCTAACTTATTACTGCAAGGAATGTGAAGTTGTAGAAGCACTTTACAAACAGCTTCTTCTAAAGTTTATACATTCACCATACAATTCAGAAATTTCATTGTTAGGTATGTACATAAAAGAAATGAAAACATACATCCACAAAAAGAATTATCCAGAAATGATTATTACAGTTTTATTTATAATAACAAAAAAACAAAGAACTGGAAGCAACCCAGATGTTTGGATAGTGAATGAGTAAAGAAATTGTGATGCATCCATTCAGTGGGATACTTCAGCAAATAAAACGAAACAAAAATGACTTATATATGCAACAACATGGTTGCATTTCAAAAATATTATGATGCATGAAAGTAGAATAAATGTCTGATCCTGTTCATGTGAAATTCTGCAGCAGAGAAAGCTAGTCCACAGTGACGGTTTAGTGTTTGTCTGGGGCTGAGGGTGGAGACGGGGGGCTTTCTGGAGTGAAGACAAAGTTCTACATCTTAATTGTGGTCGTTACTCAGATGTGCATGTTTTTCAAAACCTGCTAACTGTATATATATATATATTTCCCAGTATTACTGAGAAATAAGGGGCTTCCAAGGTGGCTCTAGTGGTAAAAGAATCCACTTGTCAATGCAGGGGATATGAGACACGGGTTCCATCCCTGGGTTGGGAAGATCCTCTGAGGAGGAAATGGCAACCCACTCCAGTGTTCTTGCCTGGAGAATCCCACGGACAGAGGGGCCCGCTGGGCTACACTCCATGGGGTCACAAGGAGTCGGACATGACTGAGCAACTTTCACTTTTTTCACTTATAGATACAACAAAAAGAAAGAAAGCAAAT